CCCAGTGGCAAATAATTTCATAGAGACTAAATTTTATGAGCTCATAAACTATAACCCTTAATTTTTTATTATTTTAGTAATTTCAACCCATTGGCAAATAATTTCATGGAGGCTAAAATTCATGATTTCATTGTAATCTCTAATTTTTTTGCCATTTTCAGTCATTCTGCCCCATTGGAAAATAGTATTATGGAGGTCAAAATTCATAATTTTATAAACTATAATCCACAATTATTGAATTTTTTGGAGGTCAAAATTCACAATTTCATAAATTAAAACCCATAATTATTGAATATTTTTAATCGTTTCAAACCATTAGTAAATAATTTTATAGAGTCTATACTTCACAATTTTATGAGCTAAACAACCCACGATTTTTTACCTGTTTTAGTCGTTTTGACCTATTAACATGTAATTTCGTAAAAACCAAAGTTAATGACTTTGTGAGTTATAACCCATGTTTTTGGTCTATTTTAGATGTTATAATATGTTGGCAATTAATTTTATGGAAGCTAAAATCCATGATTTCATGAGCTATAGTGCATGATTTTTTGCCATTATTTTTATTTTGTCCCATTAGAAAATAATTTCTTGGATACCAAAATTTACGATTTCGTGAGTTTAACCCTCAATTTTGGCCATTTTTAGTAATTACGACTGTTAGTAAATAATTTCGTGGAGGTTAAAATTTATGATTTTATGAGCTATAACCCATGATTTTGGCTATTTTTGTTTATTTTGACCCATTGGAATGTAATTTTATGAAAAATAAATTCACGATTTTGTGAGCTATAACACATGATTTTTTCCCATTTAGTCATTTACACTCATTGACAAATAATTTTATAAAGGCTAAATTCACGATTTCATGAATCGTAACCCATGATTATTGGACAATTTTAAGTTATTTTGAACCTTAGGTAAATAATTTTGCAGAGTCCAAACTTCACGATTTCTTGAGCAATGACCCACGATTTTTTATCATTTTTAGTCATTTCGCCCTATTGGCAAATAATTTCATGTGAGCCAAAATTCACAATTTTTATAAGCAAAAAAACCCACCATTATTGGCTATTTTTAATCGTTTTGAACCATTGCCAAATAATTTTGTGGAGACCAAAATTCACGAATTCATGAGCTCTAACACACAATTATTAGACATTTTTAATAGCTTCAAACTATTGGTACATAATTTTACAAAGTCTAAAGTTAACAATTTCATAAAGTATAACCCACTATACTTGTCCATTTTTATTTTCTCGACCCATAGGAAAGTAATTTCATGAAAGTCAAAATTCATGACTTCATAAGCTATAACCCACGATTTTTAGCTATTTTTTCGTTTCCACCCATTGACTAACATTTGTCCATCGATAATAATTCATAATATTTTGAGCCGTAACCCATTATTTTTGCCATTTTTAGTTATTTCCACTCATTGGCAAATAGTTCTGTTGAGACCAAAATTCATAAATTTTGAGTTATAACCCACTATTTTTCTAAATTTTTGGTCATTTTGACCTGTTGGCAAATAAATTTATGGACGCAAAAAATTTACGATTTCATTAGCGATAATCCACAATTTTTTGCTATTTTAGTCGCTTCGACCCATTTGCAAATAATTTCATAAAGTTCAAAATTCATAATTTTGTTAGTTATAACCCAGGATTTTGTAGCATTTTTATCCATTTTGATCATTGGCTAATAATTTTATACAGCCTAAAATCCATAATTTCATGAGTTATAACCCATAATTTTTGTCATTTAGTCATTTCAACCTACTAGCAAATGATTTTACTAAGATCAAAATTCACGATTTTGTGACCTATAACTCATAATTTTTTGCTATTTTCAATCATTTGACCGCATTGGCAAATAGTTTCACAGAGGATAAAGTTTATGACTTTATGAGCTATAACCCACAATTCGTAGCCATCTGTAGTCATTTGGACCCATTGGCAAATATTTTTTGGAGTCCAATACTAAAAATTTTATGGGCTATACCTTTTGATTTTTGACTACTTTTAGTCATTTTGACTAAATGGTAAACAATTTCTCTAGACCAAAATTCACGATTTCATGAGCTATTATTAACCATGATTTTTGGTTATTTTTATTCGTGAGTTATAGCTCATGAAATCATAAAATTTGGTCTCCATAAAATTATTTACCAATGGGTCGAAATGACTAAAAATGACCTAAAACTGTGAGGTATAGGTCATGAAATTGTAAATTTTAGACTCTGCAAAATTATTTTTCAATGGGTCGAAAGAACTACAAATGGCCAAAAATTGGATCTTATAGCTTATGAAATCATGAATTTTGGCCAAATAATCATGCATACAAAAAATTGTGGCATATTAATCATGCTATAACTACGATTGTGGGTTGTAGCTCATGAAATGACTAATTATTTACCATTTTTAGTCATTTGACCCATTGGCAAAAAATTGATGGAGGTCAAAATTTACGATTTCATGAGTCATAAATCATTATTTTTTGCCATTTTTAGTCGTTTAGCAAATAATTTCGCAGTGATCAAAATTTCACAGGCTATTATCCACTATTTTTTTGGTCATTTCTAACTCATAAAATTGTGAAAGTGTGGACTCTGAAAATTATTTGCCAATGAATCAGAACAATTAAAAATGGTAAAAAATAATGGGTTATAACTTATGAAATCGTGAATTTTAGCCAGCGCAAATTTTATTTGCATATGGGATGAAATGACAAAAATAAAAATCATGACTTATATCTCATGAAATCGTAAAATTTAGCCTTCACGAAATTTTTTGCCAATGGGTCGAAATGAATAAAAATGGACAAAATTTGTTGGTTATAGCTTATGAAAATATGAATTTCGGCATTCGCAATATTATTGGCCATGGGTCAAAATGACTTAAAATGGCCAAAAATCATAGGTTATGTAGCCCGTGAAATCGTGAATTTTTGCCTCCATAATTTCATTTTTTTTTTCAAGGGGTCAAAACGTCTGAAAATGGCCAAAAAACATAGGTTATAGCTCATGAATCTTGAATTTTGGCCTATTATTCATGTAATTTTTTGTTCATTGAGTATAATCATTGGTTATAACCCATGAAAATTATGAAATTTTTTTATGCATGGTTAATTGTCATTGGGTTATAGTTCATGAAATGATTTTCATGCACTATAACCAATGATTTTTCGTAATTTTCATTCATTGACCAAATAACAAATATGTATGTATAGCTTAAAATACATAATTTCATGGGCTTTAACTCACAAACTTTAATTTCCTTTTTTTTTCCTATTTTTGCCTAATGGCAATTAATGAAGCGTACACTTCAAAGTTCACAATTATCATGAGTCATAACCCACCATTAATTTTTGGGCATTTCATTTCTTTCGATCCAATGGTAACAACTTAAGTGTACTACACAATTGTGAGTTATGGGATATGATCCATGATTTTAATTAATTTTTATTTATTTTGATCAAATAACAATAAGTAAGCGTACTTGAGAATTCACAATTTTTATTGGTTATAACACACGATTTTTGTCCATTTTTGTTCATTTTGACCCAATAGCAATTAAATAAGAAAATTTGCGATTCCCGTGGGCTAACCCACTACATTTGCATATTTTCGTGCTTTTATGGGTTTGCACAATTTGCAAAATTTAGCAATCTCCTATACAAGTTGAAGATTCTAATTTGAAACCACAATCATGTATATTGTTGTTATACTGAGCTTGATAGTACATTGTGGAATTGAAATTTTTAATTAATGGATATTGTATGGTGCAATGTATATGCACATCTTGGGTTCATGTATGCGTATCTAATAAGATTTCATGATAACGCACTAGGAAAGTTGCGAATCCTGGACTCCAAATTCATTGTTTCCGCCACATCTATGCAATGTATGTTAGCGATAAATTGGGAGGGAGAGACAAGAAAATACTATGAGAAACATTTATTTTGGATTCCAATTTTCATGTTTTTGTGCTTTTTAAGTTTGCAAAAACGTTTCGTCAACTGGCAAATTTCCTGTTCTCAATGGTGCAGGGAGGAAGAGAATTGGCATTGTTGTTCTTCTGAAGCTCAGTGTTCAATCCCAACGGTAATTTTTTTTATTTTAATGTCTAGGCAGTAAATATGAAAGATAGTTTCTCTGATAAAAACATCACACCTATTTTTATTAGTTTACTATGCAATGAAATCGTGTTAGAATTTCTTTCATTATTTGATTTTCTTCTTTCTTTTATCGGCTTTTTTTAGGGGTACAATCTCCAAATCCAACCCCCCACCATGTCAACCCCATCCCCCCTCTAACCCACACACGCACCTACGTACACACCCATCTTTTTTTTTCCCCTATTAATGAAATGTTCGTTAAATCACCCTGTTAACGCACTGTACTCAATGGGTCTCACGGCTTACATCGCACCAATGGGCTCGCGGACCCAGGGTGTGATAATATTCATGTGTCCAAGTGCGTGTGATCTTTTTTTTTTTTTGAATAAATTTATTTCTTTCTTAAGGATCCAAGTACAGCATCGACTAGTTGATTTTGACAGTGGTTTGAACCATACAGCGCACTATACTCAATGGGTCTCACGGCTTACATCGCACCAATTGGCTCATGGACTCGGGGCGTGACAATATTCATGTGTCCCAAGTGTGTGTGATCTTTTTATTTTGAATAAAAATTTTTCTTTCTCAATGATTTATTGTTTGTTCAAGAAAAGAGCTAATTGTGAACCATCCAAAAATATACAAATAAATTAAGTACTATCTCCTAAGCCCTCTTAATTATTAATATGGATTTGGTTAGCTCCTATACTATTAATTTCGCCATTATGTAGCATTCTCGTTCCACTTTTGGTATGTCCCATAGCCTCGCTTGTTGACATGACCAAGATTCAAATGCCGCCATTGAATATCCGAAAACATGATAGAAATATTCGTAACATGAGGGGGGAAACTTTCAACAACACCATCAACCATATTAAGTATACGAATTGAAATGTGTCTTCAGATAAATTTCTGATTCTTTTGACCAATATTTACTGTTTGACTGTTTCAGATGGATACTAGCTTTGAATATTTGTTCACTTATATCTGTTTATTATCATGTCGACGATTATGAAAACTTTGGTTTACAGCACATGGAAGAAAGGGAGAGAGGCAAAATGTGTAGGACATCATCCCACTTTCTCTACTTCTTCATCGTTGTCGCTACTTCCAGTGCGGTGCTTCAACTTTTCATCATCACCTCCCACAGCTGAACCTGAACCATCTTCTTGCTCTTTGTGAACCAAACTCCATAAGAAATCGGTTAACATCGTCTCATATCCTGGCAACTTCTCATATCCTGGGAAGTAATTTATATCAATTATAAGGTAATGATTCCCAATCCTCTCATCCCTAATCATATCAAAGTTGAAGAGATTCAATCCCATAGCAGTCCTCAACCCTCTCGCTATCTCAGTGACAAAGTTCTCAGGTGGCATTTTCATCACATCTACCTCATTTTCAGCCACTGTCATGTTCGATATCTGGGAAAATGACACGAACCCCCCTTGTTCAAATGTTGCCAATCTCTCACCGGAGAGATCAGGTATGGATTTCCTCTTGACGCACTTTGTATAATCTCCAGCGACATAAACTTTGAAGACAACTCCACCATGGTTGACAAACTCTTGAAAGACGAGCGGAGGGTTTTGTTTCAAGAGGCCCTTGTGATTAAAGACGAGGGCCATCTTGTGGGATTTGCTGCTTCCATCAGCAGCGAGGGGCTTGGCAATGACAGGGAACCGCAGACCAGCAAGAATAGCAGGGTCATTAAGAGTAGCTGTATCGTGGACAATGATTTGCTCGGGGATTCCGAAGGTGCAAGGGTGCTGATTCTGGAGTCGGCGATCGGAATTAACCTGCACGGAGAGGAAGGTAAAAGATCCCACATCGGCCGTTATACATGTTGATAAGAAATGAAAATTGGAAGAAACTTTAACACACTTCTAGTTAATAAGGAGCCATAAAATCAAAATATGAATTAACAATAAATTTCATTCACCGAAAAAAGAAAAACCAAACAAGTTTTTTCCATAATATTATGTTTTGTTGGGAAAAGCAGGGTGCTTGATTGACCTTTTCCCCTTCCCCTGTAGATAAAACGGATTAAGAAGGCAAATAATAATAAAATGACATGGAGATAATTAGCAGGACACTAATATTTTTAACGGGGAAAATCCTTCGACTGAAGGTAAAAACCACGGGACCAAGTCCAAAAAAACTTCCACTATGAATATAATGAATACACAATATTTTCTCCTTAAACACTTGGTTAGAAGTACACCAGCAACAAAGAGGGAAGAAAAGAGGACTTCTACACCGGAAAAGGAGCACAAAAAAGAACTAACTCTCTTTCTTTATATCTCTTTCTTGCCCTTAGCACTAACTCAATTCTCTGTGATTGAGTTTACTTCTGCTCGTTGCTATGCTTCTGCTTGAGCCGGAAGTGTGGAGTATTTATAAGAGAAACGGGGTCGAAGGAAAAACGACACGCTTCCGCAAAGCAAAATGAGCTATATAATGCTAACCCACAATGTTTGACAAACTCTGCCCTTGTCTTCTTCATTGCACATTTTCAAAATTCACGTGAAATTTACAGCTCTCAATAAATGAGAGATACCTACATAAAGAAAAAACACTTATGGTTCAAATCCATCCACAAATAAGAGAGACCCACACAATAATTCTCCCCCTCCCGACTATTTGGAGAAGTCCATCCTACTATTTGGAGAGATCAAACTTGTCCTAGGGAAGACCGTTCCCAGAGTGAGTATTCTACTGTAGAAGCTTCTCTGTTGGCTCCTTTATCATTCGATATTCTAGAGAGAATATGCTACTGCAAAGCTTCTCTTCCTATGTGGGCCCCTCCTATTTTTGGAGGCCTTTGTCGGTTCCTTTATCATTCGATATTCAAAAAAGAGTATGCTACTGCAGAAGATTGACACTGATAGGAATCCTGCCGATATGATGACGAAAGCCGTTCCTAGGGGTAAGTTTGACCTCAATATAAAACTAGCAGGATGGACCTCTCCAAATAGTTGAGAAGGGGAGAATCATTGTGTGAGTCCCTCCTATTTTTGGAGGGATTTGAACCATAAGTGTTTTTTTTTTCTGTGTGGATTTCTCTCATTTACTGAGAGTTGACTAAGATGTGTAAATTTCACATGAATGTTGAAAACGTGAAACGAAGAAACTAGGAGAGAGTTTGTCAAACATTGTTCGCTAGCATCATAGCTTACGTAGTTTTGCGAGAGCATGTTGTTTTCCCTTGACCCCGCTTCTCGTATAAATACTCCACACCTCTATCTGAAGAAGAAGCATAGCAACAAGCAGAAGTAAACCCAATCAAAGAGAATTGAGTTAGTAAAAAGTGGGGGAGATAAAGAGAAAAAGAAAGACTTTTTTGTTCCTTCTCCAGTGTAAAAGAAGTTATCTTTTCTTCCCTCTTTGTTGCTGGCGTGTTTCTAGCCAAGTGTCTTCGGAGGAAATATTGTGTACCCATTATAATCATAGTGGATGTTTTTTTGGTCTAGGTCCCGCAGTTGTTACCTTCAGTTGAAGAGTTTTCCACATTAAAAATATCGATGTCCTACTGATTATCTCTTGTAATCATTTTATTATCATTTGAATTCTTAATCCGTTTTATCTATAGGAAAAGGGGGAAAGGTCAATCAATAGCCCCGCTTTTCTCAACACGCATGTCTAAGGGCTAAATGACAAAACCCGTTGACCAGAAATCTAAAATAATGCAGAATTTACGGTCCCCACAGTGGTCAAAATATATAAATTGAACACAAAAAGATGGGCTAAAACACCAAATTGACCTAAATAGTGTCACATCTTTACCACTTTGGTCTAAAAAGTGACGCCGACGATAATTTAACCTAAAAAGAAACAAATCGGCGACAAATAAACATTTCTGATCACCAAAAGCGATTTTTAAGCAAGAAAATTAAGAAATTTTCATATATACCCTTCAAATTTCTCATATTTTCCGATTTAACCCCTCAAGTTTCAAAATTTGTAAAAAGAACTCTCTCCCTCTCTTCACACTATTTTTTCCTTCATCCTTCTTGTCATCTCTTTTATTATTTTCTTTTCCCAATCGTTATTATTCTCTCTCCTTTCTTTCACATATCCTCATTCTTAAGGAGACTATTATTTTTAATGATTAGAGGATGAAAGTGGAGTAGGAAGTAAGGAGGAAGAGAGAGTGCAAGAAAAGAAGAGACAAATGAGGTTAAGATTTGTGTTGGAACGTTTAATTTTGAGTGTTGGGAGAGAGTGAGCGAAAGGAAGAGGAGAAGAAGGAAGAGGGAATGGAAGAGTGGAAGGAGATATTGGGGATTTGGAGCAAAAGAGATTTGAGGAGATGAAGGAAATTAGAAAGTAAGTGTGATGATCCATGAAATAAGTTAGGAGAGGGAGTGATGGAGGAGGGAATGTTAGGGTAGAAGAAGAATAAGGGAATAGAAAAGATGGTGAAAAGGAGGAAGAAGAAGATAGCGGAAAAAGATGATGTTTTTCACAAATTTCAGAAATTTTTTTGTGTGTGTGTGGGGGGGGGGGGGGGGGTCATGTGTAGGATGAGAGACTTTCAGTGGCCTCTAAAATAAAATTTCTATAGTTTTTTTTGCTAAAAAAATAACTCTGGCGATCAGAAAAGTCTATTTGTCGTCGATTTGTCATTCTTTAGGTTAAATTGTTACCGGCGTCGTTTTTTAGACCAAAATGGTAAAAGGGTGTCACTATTTAGGCCGATATGGTATTTTAGCCCAAAAATAGGCAACAAAAACCAATGGAAATGCCAAGAACTTGCAAGGTAAAACTCATAACAACAAGCAAACTCATAACAAAAAGCAAGCTGCAAAAATAGATCCAGACTCTATTTCAGAGCTGAAGAAATAACACACATTAATAACCAGAAATAGAAGACGGTGCAAAATTAAAACAACAAAACCTCCCTCAAAATCATCATTTTTTATCACCTCGCCACCCGGAGAGATCCCCAAAACGAAAGCCCATCTCCCAAAAAAAAGAGAAAAAACAAAGAAAATCCGAAATTTACCTCTGGATTCGATGGAACCTTCAGCTCAGCCACAAACCTAGCCATCGAGATCCTATCCTGAACCCTCTTGATCAATCCTGGAGGATCGATGACCAGCACGGAGGGGTTCTCGGACGCAAACTCGTCAAGATTAGAGACCCAAGCGTCATCGTAGAGCTTGTGGACGATGACATCGAGGTGCCGGGACTGGGAAGAGATGGGGATCGAGGGGTCGATGGGGATGAGGTTGAGGCCGCGAGAGGAGGCGAGGGAGAGGAGAGAGGGGTTGATGACGGTGTTTTGTTTCTTCGAGGACAAAGCACAGCCTATCGTGAATCGGGTCTCCTCGGTGGATGATGCCGCCATTGAAGAGAGAGAGAGAGAGAGGAAAACGCATCAAGAGCTGGGGCTTGATCTTTTATCAAATATTCCCCGCCTTTTTTCTCGCAGTGAGCGAGAGTCCCTTGTCTTGTGCGCACCGGAAATTTTGGGAGGTGCGCAACGTGCACAACAAGAAATTAGATCACAATAAAATTCTTATTTTTCAAAGGAAACAAGAACCAAAAATTAGATATTTCATCAAAGTAAGATATCAGCTCTTCCTCTCGTCAGCTCTAGGACTGCGCGTCGAGGGAACCTACAAGCTATTACAAATCACGGTAAGAACATAAATTTTACGTGGTTCGGCAAATTGCCTACGTCCACGGGGCAAGGAGGGGGAGATCTACTAATAAAGGGAGAGATACAATTGGGGTTTACAATCTCACAAATTCTCAGATCCCTCACATAAATGTTCTCTCAAAAGGGGATACACAAGTAAAAACAACAAAGCTCCTTGCGCTCTGTACTGCACGCCGAAAAGAATCCCCACCCGAAAATAAACAAATGCTTGCACACGCTCCCAAATCAGCCGCCTGCAATCTTTTCTCACCTCTGCCTCCTTTTTTCACCTTGCACGAAAACCTAGAGCAAAAGACTTGGTATTTATATGAACGTAGGTAATCGCGTGGGCCGTCATTTGTCTTCTCTTCACGCGGTAAGTGAAAACCGCGTTGCTGCTCCTCACGCAAGTTTCCAGCACGTGGACCCCACTCCACATTCTGCTCCTCACACGATTTTCTCAAAACTCGTGGACCCCACTCCACGTTCATAATTCTCCACCTCGGTGAAGTTTTTCCAAAACCGAGCCGACACCAACCAAAACAAATGTCTCACTTGTTGCATCCAGTACGCCACGGCAACGGACTCATGACAACGGACTCCAGCCACACAAGTCGAGACTCAAACGGGAGTGCGAACACTCACCCAAACATCGGTATCTACTCACCAAATCGATCTCACCCCCATCAACTAATCCAAACCCGGCTGCATCATAAAGACTGCCTACGTATCCTCTTGCCCAAGGAATCAAGCCGAACGTAGTTCACCCAAATGGTCGCTAACGACCTCAATCCAATAGAAGAGTTCGCAACCCTTCTCCAATATCACGATCAAGTCTACGGCTGATAGTACCTCCAATGGCCCCAAACTGAAACAATCCAAACATCTCCACCTAAGATGAACCAATGGCCATATGCAGACTACATCTATCAGCTGTACTCGAATCAATCAACCTATCATCTGCATCCAAATCAACACAATTCTCAATCTGTGTCACATCAGCTGGAATCCCAAATGATGCAGTATGATCTGGAGTTTCCACCCAACGTGGAGATGCAGTATGATCTGGAGTTTCCACCCAACGTGGAGTAGCATCACTCTCCACCCGCTGCGATGTCCCAAATATCTGATCACCACTAGCATCACTCTCCACCCGCTGCGATGTCCCAAATATCTGATCACCACTCTCCACCTGCCGAGAGTCAAACATGACATATCTGCTCAGAACAAAGTCAGAATATAATACCTGATAATCAAACACGCCTCTGAATCCCAAATGTGCTATCGGATCAAATCTCACATCCACGATGTGACCAAGTGCTGGGTAGCCAAACATACGACGCAACCCAAAATCTGAAGCAGCTCCACCAGATCCAAAATCTCTACATGCAGCAGTCAGCAACTTATACATAAGATGACCAAACATGTCGTAGCCCGCACATCAATGCCAATGCTTGACATCAAACGCCGATCCTCCTCCAGAAAGGAACAACTACCCAAATCTGCCATCTCATCACGTCGCCTTAAAGTTTCCACACCAATGAAGTGTCTCCAATTGCCGTGAGCTCGGCACAAACGCAAGAAAGAACCCCTACCATAATCAGAACGTCGGGTTACCTTTCTACCAACACACTTCCTCCATCTGTTGCGGGCTTCTAGGACTTCACACCAACGGGACTTGGTTGCAACCCACCAATGCCTAGAGCAATCCCCAACTGCGGAAACCACATACCTATTACCTCCCAATGATGCTCCCTTGGAAGGCCCCAGAATGCCTGAATGAACACCCCTCAGAAAACCCCTCGAATGATGGATAGAAGTGCCAAACTCCATCTCGGTCTTCTCGCTCATACCAATGGGTTCACAGGACTTCAAACTGTAGGTCATAGCACTCCTCAACAACCTATGCACGGCATTACCAATCAAATAACCCAGCATCAAACAACGCCACAGTCTAGCCGAATCTAATGAAGTCGTCATTTCGCTATCAATCGTCGTGCTTCCAAGTAAATAATACAAATTGCTCCTTCTGATGCCCTTCATCACAATCATGGACCCCGATGTGACCTTCAAACGTGCATCCACCAAGGTCACTTTATAGCCAGATGCCACCAAAGCTCCTAGTGAAATGATGTTCTTCGACAACTGCGGAACGAACCTCACTTCATCCAACTCCTGAATCACTCCGTCATACATCCGAATACGAACGGTACCAATACCACCAATAGAGCATGCATGTCCATTACCCCATGAGCACAACATCCTCTCTTTCCAACTTCCGAAAGCTGGAGAACCAATCCCTCCTAGGGCAAACGTGGTATGAAGCACTCGAATCTAACATCCACTCTGTAGAGTTGGCAACACAAACTGACGGTAGTGCAGACAACGAATAGCCCGAAGAATCCGAATCTGAATTGTTGCCACTAGTCTTAACAACATTCACCTCTGAAGCTTGTACAGCTTTCCCCTTATTCTTCTCGGCTCGATCTAACTTTGGGCATTCGGCTTTCCAATGTCCATCATCTTTACAAAAGACACACTGATTCCTACGAATCCCACGATGTGCACCTCTAGACTGCGACCTCATGCTTCGGTTTGAACCACGGCCATGAACTACTAATGCATCTCCCGATGCCTTCTCGGAGGACTCATCCACACTCTTCCTCAACTCATAATTCACTAACGCTGAGGTCACCTCCTTGTAACTAACAGTGGTTCTTCCATTAATTATAGTTAGGACAAAAGTACCATAATCATCCTCGGGCAACGAACACAAAAGTAGCATCGCCTTGTCTTCATCCTCAACCATGATATCCACATTGGCCATGTCTGAAAGTAGCTTTGTGAAGTTGTTAACATGCTCTCTAATGGAAACTCCCCTCTTCATCTTGAACTGGTAAAACCTCTTCTTCAAGTAAAGCCGATTCTCAATGCTCTTAGTAAGATATTTTTCATTGAGTGTTTCCCACATCTTCTTCGCCGACGTCTCGTTCATCACGTCATAAATAAGATCCGGCGTCAAGCATGACCGAATAACTCCACACGCCCTACTATTCATCTTCTTCCAAACCTTAGCTTCCATCTCGGCAGGTTTCTCTTGTAACTCAAGAGTCTCCTCTAAATTCTGAGCGTCCAAGGCGTCCATCACCTGACACCTCCACAATCCGAAATTAATCTTGCCGTCGAACTTCGGAACATCAATCTTCATGTTATTGATGCTCAAACTATGTATCGTCTTCGTAAGAGACGATCCCGATGTGCTTGTTTCACCCATATTATCGATCTAATCTTCAAATAGGAATCCTTCAGCGAATCCTTCAAACAAGCTCCCAAGTCCAATCCGGAGCTCTGATACCACTTGTTGTGCGCAGCGGAAATTTCGGCGGCACCTCCGGTGTGCAAGGTGCACAACAAGAGATTAGATCACAATGAAATTCTCGTTTCTCAAAGGAAACAAGAACCAAAAGCCAGATATCTCATCAAAGTGAGATATCAGCTCTTCCTCTCGTCAGCTCTAGGACTGCGCGTCGAGGGAACCTACAAGCTATTACAAATCATGGCAAGAACACAAATTTTACGTGGTTCGGCAAATTGCCTACGTCCACGGGGCAAGGAGGGGGAGATCTACTAATAGAGGGAGAGATATAATTGGGGTTTACAATTTCACAAATAAAACCCTCTCACAAACTCTCAGATCCCTCACACAAATATTCTCTCAAAAGGGGATACACAAGTAAAAACAACAAAGCTCCTTGCGCTCTGTACTGCACGCCGAAAAGAATCCCCACCCGAAAATAAACAAATGCTTGCACACGCTCCCAAATCAGCCGCCTGCAATCTTTTCTCACCTCTGCCTCCTTTTTTCACCTTGCACGAAAACCTAGAGCAAAAGACTTGGTATTTATATGAACGTAGGTAATCGGGTGGGCCGTCATTTGTCTTCTCTTCACGCGGTAAGTGAAAACCGCGTTGCTGCTCCTCACGCAAGTTTCCAGCACGTGGACCCCACTCCACATTCTGCTCCACACACGATTTTCCCAAAACTCGTGGACCCCACTCCACGTTCACACCTTGTTTGCTTTTTCCAGTGGCGATGTCAGAGGGAATAAAGCATGATGTACATTTTAGGCATTAAAGCAGATGAATATAGTTAAAATAATTAGCTTCGTGATATTTTTTTTTTAAGGAATATTCTGCTACATAGCATCAGGGAGAATTTGATTGTAGGTAAAGTTTGGACCATCACAGGCATCCGAGAATGATGTACATTTGTATCCGCAAGCATATTGAACTAAAATACGTGCACAAGAGTTAACATGACTAACATAACAAGAACTTAAGATTGGTGGCAGGTGTTGCGGGTGAGAGATGACCCTTTGGCCTTTGCAACATGAGCACAATGTCCAAACAATCAGATTCCAAAACAATATTCAACCAACCATGAGTAAGAGCGAGGCGAAGGCCAGCAAGTAAGGCTTGGACTTCAGCTTCAAAGGGCGTTACAGGGGGGCCAAAAGTGCAATATGGCAATAATATGATGGCCGAGATGATCACGAGCAAGGTCATCATGTTGATCGAAATTCTGAAGAGTCTATAAAGAACGGGCGTGCGAAGGATGGCCTCCACCGTCCGATGGTAATACCCGGCAGAGATCAAATCAATATTCCAAGAGTTCGAGATTAATTCAATGGTACGAGGTGTTGGGAATTTAACGCTGAAATCCCTAATGCAACGGAAACGCAGATAGAGAACAGTACACCAAGATTTACGAGGTTCGGCAACTGCCTAC